ATTCACACATTGAGTACTGTTAAATGTCGATGGAAAATCATAAAACGGATCAGATTCCTGAATTGTCTCCCCACTATTCGGAAACTCATAATGATGATCAGTTTGGAGGAAATAGCTGTCGAATGGATCCCTTGTTAGAGTTAGAGTTAGCCAAAATACGCTTGGCTCAGACAGAAAGAGAAATTGAGTTAGAACAGTTACGTCAAAAAGGAAGAGAACATTATAATCAAGTTATGGCTGACAAGATGATGTATAAGTCTACATTTGCCTCACCTGCAGTTGATATTCCTCCTGGAAAAGACTGGATAACAATGATATCTAGAGCTTTAAACCTACCAAAGAGAGAGACTATAAGGTTTGATGGTAATCCCATGAACTATTGGAGTATCATACGAAATTTCGAGGACTGTTTTGACGAAAGAGTTGGATTCCGATCTAGGTTAAACTATTTGATTCAGTATTGTGATGGTGAAGCTAAGGCTACCATTGTTCACTGTGCATTGCTTGAGCCAGAAAAAGGCTATCGAAAGGCGTTAGAGCTTCTCGAGGAAGCAATTGGTCGGAAGCACATCGTGGCCCATGCATTTATTGATAAGATGCTGAATATCCCTGCTATTAAGGGGACTGATCCAGATGGTTTAAGAAGACTGTCTCGTGAGATGCATGTTTGTGAGCTCACACTTACGCAGATGGACTATGTATCCGATCTTAATTCTACAAAGACCATCGATTGTATGTTCTTAAAACTCCCACTGCATTTACAGAGAGAATGGGTTAAAGTTACATCTAGGATTCTTAAGACAGGTAGAGAGCCTTTATTCAAGGACCTTTGTGAATTTGTGAAGGAGCAATCAGACATTGCTAATACTAGGTATGGATTAATTGTCAGTGGTGATCTTTCTAACCGCAACCAAAGGCAATCGGTTACCGTTACAAAAAAGCCCCTTGACTCAGAATACAAAGCTAGAGTGTCGTTTGCTAACGCGAGTTTGTCTGATGTCTCTCCATACGTAGGACCAAGAACTCTTGGATTATCATGTTTATTATGTACTGGGAACCATCCATTGGACCAATGTGAAAGGTTTAGAGATAAGGATGTTAGTGAAAGAATAGAATTTGTATTAAGGAAGAAGTTATGTAATGTCTGTCTGAAGGCGAACCATATAGCAAGAAACTGTCGAGCACCAAGATCATGTACCGTCAAAGGATGTGGTTGGAGACACCTTACCTTGTTACATAGGAAGCAGGGAGAACAGAGAGATAGCGATAGTGAGGCTTGCATTAATACTCATTTCTGTACGGAGGGAAGTGTTAAGCGTATGCAGAGACCAGTAGCATTTGCAGTAGTGCCTGTATGGATAAAAAATGGTGAGAAGATTATTCAGACTTGCGCCTTTTTAGATAGCGGATCAGATACCTCTCTCATTGTTGATGATCTGGCTGATGAGTTAGGCCTCAAGGGAAAACCGGAAATGGTGTCTTTAAAGACTCTTAGTAATGAATCGTCATTGATATCCAAAGAGGTCGATGTAGAGTTGCACTCGATAGATTTTTCATCATCTGTTAAGGTGCTGAAAGTGTTGACTGTTAAAAAACTACCGGCGGTTTACAGGACTGTGCCAACGGTGCATCAAATGGTATCTTGGTCTCATTTAAAAGACACAAGTTGCGCAACGTTTGCTCTACAAAGGACTATCCTAGGTAAAGAGGCTAGATTTCCTGAATGCATTATACAGACAGCGAAGGAAAAGTTCTACGTTGATGATTTATTAACCAGTGTTGATACGTTAGAAGATCCTAAGTTAGTATATTCTCGGCTGAAGGAAATGTTACGTTTAGGGAGTTTTAATCTAACCACGTGGGCCAGCAACAATGTTGAATTTGTAGTGGATGTCGAGTCGTAGACGGACTATGATCACCACTACAATTCGATTACGCGCCCAAAAACGACTTGGTTCCTTTCATAGCTTGTATATCAGAAGGCTTTATTAATCCAGATCAATTGTATTTATTGGCGATCTCGTGGTATCGAAATAATACCGAGACGTGCCAAAGAGTACAGGCAAATTGAGCAGTGCGTGAGCAAGTTCGAACCAAACAAGGCGGAGAGCGAAACAAGAAGTGAAACTGATACAGTTAAACAAATACAGTAAAACAATCTCTGGTACAATTGGTCACAATAATAATAATTGTTTCCGTTATTCCAATCGTGTTCTTATCGAGACTGGCCGGTCACCACAAATTAATGAAGTTTATTTCAGAGGCAGACCATATAGACAGGAAAGTAGATATTTGTTTATCTGTGGAAGAAAATGAAAGGATTCTAGGAAAAGAGTGGAATGTTCGAACGGATAAGATCTTCAGGATGTGCAAGTTGGATGTGACTCCTGCAAGGAAAACCATTTTGTCGTATGTAGTATCTATATTCGACCCAGATGGGTTTATAGCTCCAATTGTTTTACCAGCTAAATTAACTTCGCAAGATGCTTGTCGGCTAAATCTTCCATGCAACGAAGAGCTTCCTATGGAGTGCTTTATAGGATGGAACTGTATGCTCAGAGGTATGAAGCGCTTAAGTAAACTGTTGCTTCCCAGATGTCTCGTACTAGGATTATACAAACCACTACCTACTCAGATTTATCGCTTTGTCGACGCCACAGAATTCGCAAATGGTGTTGTGGCGTATGCTCGTTTTAAAGATGTCTCGCGTCAAGTTCATCGTTCCTTTTTATTAGCCAAGTCCAGGGTTGCTAAGCCAAAAATAAAAGCACCATGTGATCATAATCCCAAAACAACTCTAAGAAAGCCTAAGAAAAGGAAGGTCACCAAGCCGAAAGTGAGTACTGAATTGTTTGCACATTTCACTTTTCTGGCCTTCTTTTTTCTCCAAAGTCAATGAAATATTCTTCAAAACACTACACAACTTGTTTAAATATGGCGAATATTATACAAACATCATTGAAACTGCATAGAATCGAGTTCTTATCAGAAAATACTATTTGTATCCGTGGTTACGAACCAAGTTGTCAAAAGTGGTCGTCACAGGCTTTGGTGTTTATGCGAACCAATGATTTCTTTGTATTGACGACTGTTTTGATTTTGAATTCCAAATACAGTACATTCGTTCGTGTTCATCTAATACTTCTTGATTAAATTACATTATTGTTGGGATTACTAGTTTATAAAATAATTTAAATACTCTTAAATATCACAGGCTCATGGTCACATATTTGACAGGGTTAAGTAATGAATTCAATTTATAACAGGATCTTATAAACTTTTAAAATACATTCCATTTTAATATATTTGTTTGCATGGTGTTTAAACCGTGTTTGTTTCCCTCTAGACTGCCAGTACATTCTGTTGGGCCTAACACTTGCGTAGGACCCAACATTTGTTATACTTAACTATATTTTTATCATGTAATTATTTTACAAGAGGAGTTTAGCGATTTTTCAGGTTTGTCTGAATTTATTCATTCATCCCTTCTGTGAGGCAGACTTTCTTTTGTTTTCGACTTTAGAACGGCTCAACGGGGTGGTGAGCAAGCACCTGATAGTCGGACATAGCATGATAAAATCGTGCCTCAGCAACAAGGTGCTGGATAGCTCGCTCGTGGAAATTTCTCCGATATTCTTAGTACGTCTTTTATCTTTAATTCCCTTACTAGCTCTTATTCTCAGAAAGAGGACTAATATATCAAGCTATGTGCAACAACGTGTGAATTAAGGGTAAATACAACCGAGAAAAAAATAACATACAGGAAATCTATGTGACATTTAAAGATTAATTCCGATTATTAGGTGACTGGTACTCATCTTACGCAGTAAACGAACCAGTGTTAAATACTGGATGAATTACGCAGATTCTCCACTACTCTGCATTGACAGGGCCAATATTCCTACAGAATCTGATTATAGGAGGAGACCGATGTAGCTATATAAGTTCGATGAATAGGAGATAGACTACTTTTTTTTAGGGTTAAAAACCATAAATAAAGCAGTCACTTACTTCTGTACATTGTTTAGGAATTACGTCTTATCACTCTATATTAAATGTTGAGAAGTTTGTAAACCTAAATTAGGACCTCCTTCCCTATACATGTTAATAATAACCTATCACAACTATCTTGAAGTCATTTAAATCTGTATACGGCAACGGGTAAATAAAGTACTGAAAAAGTCCACTCTTTCAATATTGTGATGTCTTTGAAGATTTTTAGGTGTTATTTGTTTAAAGATGTCACAGATATGCAGGATTTCATAACGCTTTTATCTGCAACACCTCTATAATCGTAAGATAATAAGCCCAATCAAACAAGTAGTTAGGAGTGCAGGCTAGTAGATGCAAGAAATTCAAAGTATGGAGTACGAAACAATGATCTTTTGAAGATGAGTTACCAAGCGCCTCCAGCTAGGTTGTGTCCAGTAAAAATAATGAGGTCACCACCAATGTCAAAGACATAGAAAACCGTTTGTTTTGAGATCTATTTACCGCTGATCGTTGACTAGACTTTCCTGTGTTCTACCGTAGGACAAGGATTGCACGTGGTTCTCATCAATTTGGGTCCCTTATGTCACTCAAAAATCTCCAGACTGAATGTTATTCATCATTTTTGGATTAGTTGTAATAACAGTGAGTGGTCTAACAATTTGCACTCTAATTCAGATTGACTAGTCAAATGTACATAGTAATGTTGTAAATGAGAACGCAGGTGAGGACAACCAACCATATATTTAACACAAATTACAACGTTACTTGGTAAAATACAAAAACCATGCTATGATACACTATTTGCAAAATGTTCTTCAATTGCCTCAGGCTTCATTGTTCCTGGATTTCCACACAAATTGCTTTTTATTTCTGTTCTTCTCTTCTTCTGTCAGATATTCTATTCCTTACTCACCATATATACTACTTATGTCTATATAAGTAGCTCACACCACAGTATTATTATTATTATTAATGGCTTTATTCTATATTATAATCTGGTACAATATAGAGTTCTCAGCACGAGTTATTTCAACAAGTTTTTTTCCAAAAAATAAAACCAAAAAAAACAACAAAAAACAGAAATAAAATATAAAAAAGGTTTAAGAAAATCTGAGAAAGATAATAAGCTAACCCTCGTGGATTTTCATGTCACGTTCTCATCATTTACAGATCCTGGTAAGGCGCTACAAGGTTCGCAATTAGCTCCATGATCGACACCATTGTAGCGGTTCTTTTGTACTCCCATTATCCCTGGTATAGCTGCTTGTTGAAAATAGTGTTGAGGGTTCAATTTACTTCTTCCTTATTAGACCATGTAACAGACATTTGTGGAATATAAATGTAAGTGCTATACACTACTTGATTCTCCTGGCTACGCTCTTAGTGTCCAGTATTTCATCTTACTACTACTACAACTAAGATCACAGTCCTACAACAGAGTCTTACTCTCAATAATGTCATTCAGGGTCAAAACGTGATTATTACAAACCCTGAGGCCCTGGACTTTAATAATCAGGAATAACGTTTGGTCATTTATGGGAGACCAGTCTAACACTGGAAACTTTTTCACAATTATTATCATCTTATTTGTACACGGTCAATCCCACTCTCTTCCAGGTAGTCAGATGTAATTTTCTGAGACACAGTATATTCAAGCTATTACCATCATGTAGGCATGAAACAGTATATTAAATCCCTTAATTATGATTTAGCTGCAGTTCTCACTTGTTCGTTTCGAAAAGATGCAAACGTAAGGTGAACCGAACTTATCATTTAAGCGCGTAAATGATGTTGCAACTGATATATATATGAACCTCAAGGTTCCATTCTATGGGGGCAGATCTCTCAAATTACATTGGTTCCGGAGAACCAATGCCTAGAGCACTGATTGTCCTACGCCTTGATGAAGACCTATAAGATAGGCAAAATAGCTCTGAGCCCCACCGGAATGGTTGTCAGTCTGAATGTGATTCTGACACTAGAGATGGTCAATAGGTGCTGAGCAACAAGGTTAACTATGGCTGGCGCTAATTAATACATTGACTGGGCAGAAACGACACTTGTGGAAGCATTATCACACTGTATCTATGATATCCATATTTTTTATTCTCGTTCAAATATAACACTACTCAGTAAAACTGTCTAGACTGTATGTACTAAGGGAACAGGAAATTGCGGCCACCAGTCCAGGATTGATCAGTTCCAAAAGTCATGGAGTTATTCAGGTCTAATCCTATGCTACCTAAGCATCCAACTTGCCACAGTTAAGCCTATATTAGACTCAGACTAGTAAAGATAAGCTTATTACAGTCTAGTCGAGCAGAACTACTTACTCATCTACCATGAACTTCGCAATAGGGAGCTCCATCTTTTCAACTTAGTCGAACTAATGGGGGTCCGATATATCTTATTGAAACTGCCCATAACTACAATTACGGACTTACTCCAAAGACATAGGAACCACAACTATGGAGTAAACTAAGTGCACACATTGCGACCTCACTAAAGTTGTAAAGCATGATGAATGAGCGGACCTAGCGATGGAACTAAACAGCCACCATTACATTGACTCTCTCTGACCTTATATGACTTAGCCTTGTTTATCCATCAATCATAATCTTCCATGTCCATCATAAACGATATTAAGTTTCGTCGACTCATTTTTTCCATCCTCTAGTTATTGTTCGAAAAAGATAAAGTTTACCATGCCAAATAGCCTACTTGTTCTAACTTTGGTTAGGCTACGACACTGTGCTTGATAGTCTGAAGACCAATCTAGAATTGAGTCTGTAAGAAACTAATTCCTACAAAATATTTCAGCAGTGATCAGGTGCTTCGCTTCCAACTTCTGAAGAAGAAAGTCTTCTTGGAGGAAAAATGTTCCAAACACAAAGAGAAGTCAATAACGTTAACTCTACATTCGCTCATCTTCGAACACTTGTTGGACCATGGAGTTGAAGCATCACTGAACAAAGAAACATTAGACTTAATATTTGTCATGGCAACATAAATAACCGTTTCTTATAACATCTCTGTTCTCATAAGAAGTATTCACTGCTTTAAGTTCTTCGTCTATTACTATAATAAACACCTCGAATCAGCTTCCATCTGTTGCAGCATAACTGAGTTACTTTACACTCCTATTCGGTTCATTTACTTAATAGATTAGTCCTGCATACGGAATGGTAAAAACTTAAAACAATCATACTTTCTGTGAACTTTATCAATAAAGATAATATGGTAGCTTTCTTCTTCGATACAATGACTCCACACAGTAAATTAATGTAAACCTATTTGAACAAGAAATGTAGTGGGACCACAACCAAAAAAGTGAAACAACTATATAAAAAACATTTATTGATCAGACTACAAAAACTTATCAAGATTTTAAAGGGAATAAAAACTTTATACAAATGGGATCCCCTCAAAGGAGGAAAATGTCAGAAATCGGTTACTTAGCTCTTTGCATTTGCCGCAACCTATACAAATCCATAGGCACATTACAGCCGAGAGTAGCAGCAGACAGAGGATTTCTTAACTCTGATCCAGAGCCAAGAATCTGACCTCCCAATAAGGCAGCTGCACGTTCATCTTCATCATCATCATCATCGTCATCATCCTCTTCTTCTTCATCTTCAGAGTCTCCAAAAGCATTTAGATTTGTCCTTTTACGTAATTTAGATTGATTAGCCACAGAAGCACGGTTACCATGTCCAGCTAAACTATCTAAAGCTAATTGCTGTCGACGTTTACGAGCAGCCAACAAAAGTGGGGCAGCGGAAGTCGCCGTACTAGCCAATTCAATGGATAAAGCTGTACCAGAGTCAATACTTGTAGCTAATTCTTCGGATTCACCTGCAACAACTTCCATATAATCTTTACGAAATGAATACACAGAATAATTGTCAACACATTTACTTCAGTGGGTAGATAGTGATAATAGTAATTAAAACCGATCAAATATCTCGTCGAAAAACGTGAATTTAAAATGACCACACAGGAAAAAATAGTGAGTCTATAATCGTTATTCGTTTCCAACTATTAAGCAAACAATGGGAGCCCAAGTTAAAAAGAAGTTTAAGTGTACAGAAACAATATTTTCGCAAACATACTAACATTACGAGACAAAATGATGTTCTTTACACAAATGATTTGTGGAAATATTTCCACCACAGATTGGAATCAATCGCTATTGGTGCCTGTCTCCATATACGAAAACTATGTAACAATATGCATTACATCACTTAAACCAACACTAAATATTTACACAAAACAGCCATTCGGCCCTGGTCGAGTTGTGATTTTTTAGTTAGTATCATAACGGATCATAGTTGAACATGAGAAAGCATTTGACTGAACGAAAAGGAGAACTGTATGAAACCATCTTAGATACTATATTTTATCTACGAAAACCATCTCATAAACAGTGAAAAATGATGGTGAAGAAAACCAATGTAGCACCAGTTTTTGCAACAGTAGGCCCAGACATTCACAAAGGAAAAGCGAGATCCTGAAATACGATACTGTGAGCATCGACGAAATCCCACTTGATGATGAAGCTCCGGAAGAGTTGTAGACTTTTACATATTTGGACAATATCATTGGTAAACAAAGACGATCTGACTCAGATGTGAAGGCGCAGACTCCTATAAGCAAGGGGGTACTATTCCCACAATTAAAGAACTTCTGGAACTCAAGACAACTGTCAGCCAACATCAAAATCAGAATTTTTGTACGCAACACAAATTCGGGGAACTAATATAATTGTCAGAAGGGGGTTTTGTGGAGATTTTAGTAATTTTATATAGTTGAGATCATGAGTCAATTGAAGCTAGACCATGGAAAACTTGGAAGCACTGGACGGCCGTGGGTTCGAATCTCGCGAGGCGGGATCGTGGATGCGCACTGCTGAGGCAGACCTTCACAGAACCTGATAGACATGAAAACTTTTTGTCTGCAAATACTAAATAAACACTTTTGATACAATTAGTACAGAAATGCTAGCCCAATACTGAGTCCAAACTAGGAAAAATAACTCTTCAGTGACTTATGACTTTTAACGGTAAGTAAGCTAAGGCCAGTTTGCAACGTGATGTATCAGTACAGGTTCAAACAATAGAAAAATAATGAAACAGTGGATGAATGCAAATTATTAAATAAACTCCCATTAGTTGTAATAATGGATCAATATATTCAAATCCACTTACCATCAGGGATTTCTAATTCTAGGAAATGTTCTAAAAATTTATCTACATCAACAAATGGGCCATGAAAACATTGTGGTGGTGGAATTAGTTTCAGTAAAGATGAAGCAGCCGGTGGTGGTGGGAATTCACCACCAGCTACTGGGTGACTCCCAGTACGTGGATACGCTTTCGGTTTAAATGGTAACATCTGACTGACATCAGGTTGCGGATAAGTTGGCCTTGGATCAGTTCCATTGATTGTTGAACCAAGAGCATCACCGACTACTACACCTGCACTACCACCAGAGACACCGGATAGTGTGGATCCTAAAGAAACCCCAGCAGCTCCATGGGAAGAGATCACACCACACAATATATCATCATATCCTTTGCCAATTCCCGCCAACTGAAAGCGAGTGAGTTCCTATAAAGTAAATTAAACGGTAACTGTTTTAAATAGTATCCACATCACACAAAAAATGATGGTGTCATCAATTTTAAAAAAATAAATAAATAAACAAGTGAACATAAACTTACTCGATAACCCAAAGATCTAAGCTCTGAATCTGTACATGGTAATAAATCTAGGAAACGATATCTATCAATTAGAAGTGCGGTTTCTAATCTTGAAAATTCTTTCGAACTATCCAATGCTTGTAAACGTCGTTTTTCTACTTTCAGAATACTAGCCAAATCGCCAACCTGTTTAAAAAAACAGTAAAATAATAGTAACGACAGTAAGAAATTAATTTAAAAATTAATATATTTCATTTGTTGAGTGCATGTATCGCATTTTCGGCATTAAGTATCACTACTTGTGCGAGGACTAGTGATATTAACCTGTCGCCCAAGCTGAAATTTTAGGTGAAGTAGGTTCTAAACACGCAACTCGCATGTGTGCCAGTGATGATGTACACAATCAAACTCCAATCCAAGATCAATAGCCTTAAACCCAATTTAGTAGTCTAAAGGTTAAGTGCTTGACGTGAAGCCTGAAGGTCTTGGATTTGATCTTTAGTAGAGTCATGAATGACCGCTGCCATCGCACATTTATTCGTTCTATGTTGATTTCCGTCTGTTTGACTGTTGAAGAGTCCCATGCTATGACAAAATAAATACCCACTGTTTCTCGGTTTCCCATGGACGTCTAAATGAAGTTGATCCATCATGTAAAATTACAAATTCAGCAAACTTTCTAACCCGCCTCACTCCTACACAAAAAGTTATATTCAGTTTGCAAGTGGTTTTATTTCCTTAAATCCAATTACTGTAGATTTTAAAGTGATATGGGTAAATTACTTTTTATAACAATATGTAGAATACAAATATTGAATAAAAACGAACGATAAAAAAAATTATCCACTTACTTGTGATTCAAACTGTAAAAATCTAGCCCATATAAGACGTGCACGTTCTTGTGTAATTTGATTTGATCCTAAAGCTCGTTCAAATAACACACGTATATTATTATCTTCATTTAAATGTGCCATAAAATCAACATAGCACAATACATATTCCGCAATACCACCGAAACGTTTCATGCCTAACTCAAATATTTTATGTCCAATAGTTTTATCCTAATATGATGAAGTCGAAAAGAACGAGTAAACAAGCAAGAAAGGTTATAAGAAAATAGGAAACAAATAATGAACGTAGGATGAATTAGCAACAGTTCGAAAATTGTTTACATGGGAAAATATTTTCAAATGAGTTCCCATGTTTAATAATTTTACTCTCTTAAAAAGCATCTCTTATATGCAGATAGACAATACAGTGTAATCAACATGTGCGAAGGTCATCACTCAATAGGCGTTTCCATGGTGATTTTGAAACATTGATTTCGGAGATTGTGTTGACTCAGTAGTCTCCATAACAAGCACAGAAAGCTGACCGATTAATGACAGTGCAGTAGGATGAAGGACAATTATGTCGGTACATCACTAAACACTAGATGGATTCCTAAAAATCATGATTCAAGTTATCCTTACACTAATAATGAAATCTATTTTTAATAGCCAAATAGTAACATATGCGACCACAAGTTACAGAGCCTCCGAATGCCCTGGTACAGTCGAGAGTGGGGAAAGTCAGCTCTCCCTCTCGAAATGCTCTCACATGGCCACACGTATATAGCCTCTGCAAGGGAAGTCTAACTCACTGGTAGACACGGAAAGTCCACCTACGGGAGTTGGAAAACCCTGATTCCAAACCAGTGGTGCAAATGGGCTTCAGTATCCTGAGGGAACAAATGGCGTATGAATCAATCGTTGGTCACCGGCTACCATGGGACTGCATCTCCTCACGATGCTCTTCTACCTTGTGGATCAGATCTTTAGGTCAAAGGCTCCGGGTGTGGCGCCCTAAGAAAACTAACTGTTTCGGTTTGGGAACCCGTACAGTATCACAGCCCTCAAAAAAGTCAAATGAGATTTGTGCGGCGCATATGTATCTGGTACCCCTTTGTACCAATAATTATGTGTCTAAATAAATAAACAAGTTACAGAAACTTTAATTTATAAAACATAGGATACATCATTTTGAAACCCTTTAAAATGCTTCCCACTTGCGACAACACAACCATCTCGTTCCCATTATTTGAACTGTCATCAGAATTGATTACCTCAAGTGGTGTTCGTCAGGGCTGTCCACTCTCTCCATTCTTGTTTAACTATATCGTAGATGTGCTTTTAGAAATAACACTTTCCTCATCCAAATTTAGAGGCGTTGAACTTCTCTCAGGAGACTCACTTGTTGACTTAGAATACGCCGACGACATAGTTTTACTCGGTGAAGACACTGACAAAATGCCGAGTCTCTCGACCACTATAAGCAACAATGCAGGCATGTTCAGAATGAGATTATTCGCTTCGAAATGCAATGTGCTACTTCAGGATTGGGTTGCATCGGCACCTGAACTAATGATAGGGAGTGAAGTAGTTGAGAGTGTCGACCGCTTCACTTATCTTGGAAGTCTCATCAGCCCTTGTGGTCTGGTGTGTGACGAAATCTCAGCACAGAAACAGAAGGCTCGTCTGGCTTTTGCCAACTTACGTCATTTATGGCGTAGGCGAGATATCCGTCTAGCAACCAAAGGACGGGTTTAATGCGCAGCAGTTCGCTCCGTCCTACTTTATGGCAGTGAGACATGGCCGGTAAGAGTAGAGGATACTCGTAGGCTGCTAGTATTCGATCATAGGTGTCTTCGAATCATTGCTCGTATATCCTGGGACCACCGAGTAAGTAATGCAGTCGCTAGGAAACGGGTACTAGGTAAGGATGGCAAATCGATTGATGAAGTAGTGAAACTTCATCAGTTGAGATGGCTGGGACACGTGTTACGTATGCCCAACCACTGACTGCCTCGACGTGCAATGTTTTATGGTGTAGAAGTAGGTTGGAAGAAAGATATGGGTGGCCAGACCAAAACGTGGCACAAGTCCATGAAGTCATTGACAAGTGGACTGAGCCATGTTGGTAGGTGTAGACTACCTGGTTGGGATTCGCGAGATGACAGCAACCGATGGTTAGAGACCTTGAATGACATGGCTCAAAATCGTTTGCAATGGTGCAGATGCGTCCGCTTTTTGCGTTCTTCCAAATTCTAATCTTCTGAATTCTTCATGTCCCTGTTGTTTTTTTCTTTTCAAATTTATTTCACTGGATTATACTCCTTGAATAATATCTTCAAACCCTAATCTTTCTTATTACTGCTTATACTCATACTACCCCTACCACTATAGGATTTGAATCGACAATTGTTTCTCTGTGTTAATGTGGTATGGCAACTCGAACCGATGTACGTACGTACAAAGTTCTACGTTGTGACTGACTGACTGACTGACCGTTATTTGAAACACCGCTTGAAGTCCTATCAAGACAGGCTGTCCAGAGACTTAACTTTTTAACTGCAAGTATTTTTTTAGGACCGTCTGCGTAAACGATTCTCCGAAATCAAGTTCATAAGAATAGTGAAGCAGTTATCAGAAAGCGCATGGGACAGCATACATTCAATATTTTTAGTGACTCAGGAAGTTGGTGTTCCCCTTGGCTTTGTATTATACTCCCGGTAGTGACGACTCTCCTTGAGATGTTTGATTCACTTTAAAAAAAGCAGTAACTATCTATGCTTTAACTCTATTGAAAGACCCAATATATTTCATAAACTACCTGGGAAATTTTTCCAAGCTTCAACAAAAGTGTGATGATGAACCGTCGAATATTTATTGGAGGCTACATATACACATACAATAAAATACAAATTTATAAAACGCGAACAAAAGATACCTACTTTACTACAAAAATATTCCATCAATGCAGCACTACAGTAAACATGATAAGTAATGCGTGAATCATCACGAGCTAGTTTAAACACATATCTAGCAGACATTATACCTTCAGCTCTCCTGGCGAATCGCATATACTGTATATAAGGCTAGAACATAAATTAAAGAACACAATTCCGATTACGTAATCAACCAGTATTTGTCTTCATAAAACTATCAATATAAAACCATATAGATGACATAATTCGTAAAATTGTAGAAACATCAAATATTAGTTAAATAAGTAAAGAACTAATAAATATTCACATACTCCCAATTATAAGTCAAGCAACTTAAGTCAAAACCTTACGCGAAACGGCGACTTAGAGATTGAAAAGCGCTTAGCCTTCATCTAACAAGTGGCAGGTCCGATTACCGCTTTAGTTACTCTTGTTCGAGGAGTCAAGGGGTGGTATCACAAGTACTAAACACTTGGCTCAAAAGTAGGTAAACTAATCTTGGTGAGTGAGGTGCATTATTTCTGTACCACTACGATTATACTAAATATTCCTACGTAGCCACAATATCAGATGGCTTCATTCATTAGCAAGATAATATATATCATTTGACTGAGGAAATGCATCCACCCTTTCATAAGACAAAAGGATGCTTCAAGCAAATAAAAAAATAAGTAGTTTTCAAAAGCAAGACGAAGTTCCATCTACTACAATAAGTCAACCTCGATTTCAGAATAATTTGTTTACATTGTCAGTATTGACTGATTATAAATTGCATTAACAGCACGTTCTAAGTGAATACCTGTTACCTTTAGTTGTTGCTTAACAGATGAACTGAAGTACAAACATATATCAGCTGAAAACGTTTTTCAAGTTTCTTTTATTTGATATAAGTTTATGAAAAACTCCAACATACTGATTACATTTAGAGAAGGTTGCAAATAGATTATAATGGCAGTGCAATATCAAACACAACCTGTTACGGTAATTATAATTAGAAACTGTTAATGTTTACGGAAATTCGAGAGAGTGGATGAGAATTTCATAAATGTAAAAAAAGACTTAACTAATGTTCTCTGTAGTGAATGATATCAAAAACTAGACTGCTTAACCATAATAATTCACTACTACCTTTATAACAAAGTAAAATAAACTTGGGAAATAAATATAAAAAACAGAACGAAAAATTTCTCACTCACTAATGTCGGATCAATATTCTCCAATGAAACTAACTTCTTGTAGATAGAATGAACTTTTGCATACTTACACCGACCTTCTTCGTAATCGGCATAAGCAAAATATAACATCATATTTGTTTTGAGTAAAGCAATAGCTCGTTCATACATTGCCGCCGTATCGTTGGCAAATTGTCTAGCTGTTGTTTGATCCTTTTAAGAACAAAAATTGGAAACAAGTACAAAAGTTATCAGAAAACACAAAACGTTACCACAAAATACAACGAAATTTTTTTGATGACAATGACTCTTCCATATATATATAAATATATATATATATATATATATATATATATATATAATAACAATAAACTGAACAAATTAGTTACTAAATGATTGGTAAATATTACACACAAAGGATATAAATACGTACTCCCTTTTCAACCAAAATTTTGCTTGCATGATCCAAGTAGCTAGCAGCTTCATACCATATATCTGGGTGATGTCCAAGACATAAAAGACATTGTTCATAGGCAAACATTACTGAAAGTAAACAAAGATATATAATGAAACCTCTATGCAACTAATGATGAATTTTTTAGAAGTTGGCTTTCCGATGACGTAGCAGTACGGTAGTTACCAAGAGGCAATAGTTATAACACGTTTCAGTGTCTATTAAATCGCAACTCCTAGTGTAGCTACAAGGTCGAATGATTATCCAGAGCTCATGTACCAACCTGTGATTGAGTGAATAATAAAACTAATGAAACATTCAGTCAGGTTTCAGCTTATTGGCACGTTGACAGTTCTTAGACTGAAGAGATTTTTTTATTTAAACTAACGTTTTCATATCATTATTATTGAAATTGCCTTCACCACTCTTTTCAACAAAAATTATTGTTTGTAAGCTGATCCGAGAGTGGTTGTTGGGTTTTCGGTAGGAATGGTTAGTCAGATGATAAATCTGTAGACTTTTATCAACGATAGTTGGGCATGTGTCATGAATACCCACCACCTACCCTGACAACCAAAGCAGACTGGCATAGGAGTAGGTTGGGGAAAAGCTAAGAGTGCCCAAACGAAGACAGCATCAGACCATGAAGTTACTGACGGTTGAACTAAAAGATCTGAGACACAAACTTCCTGGCTGGGGCCCACGCAACAGCCCTACTCGACAGTTGCAGAGGCTGAATGAAATGGCTCAAAATCGGTCGCACAAGCACGACCGAATTCATTTCTAATCATTCTCCGTATTTTGTACAACCTTACTACTGGTTGATTCCATCCTCTTCAAAACGTAATATGCTAATTTTCACACAAAACCTATTGCACGAGAATAGATTATCAAAGTGGCTAGGAGTAATGAGTTGATAAAAGTCCTTCAGAATAAGGGAATATCAACATTTATCATCGTTATAACTTGTGGCCTGGATGACCTGTTAATATATAACGTGATAATACCGCCAATTAGAGAGCAGTGGTTTATCCATTGGACCAATGACGCATAAAACCCGTAAGAGCAGTCTAGAGTACTTATCGGTCCTGCTTACTGCCTAGCCTAGTCAGTTAAGTCTAGAACACCAATCTCAGTCTCTGTAATATGAATCACTTATTTCAAACATACTGGGTTTATATACCAACCATACAGGCCACATCGTACCATAAGAAACAACATTTGCACAAGATTTAGCTAAATGTGGCTGTGAATAAAGATAGTAATTGATAGACAAGGCATAACTCAAGAATGGTAAATCGTATAATAATAGTTCATAAGTCAAAATAAAGCTCATAATAAGAGGGATATGGATATGAATAGTTTAATTATTTAACGACTATACGATAACAATATACGCATAGTATTGGTCCATAAACTGATTCCAAAGTTACCATTCATTATCCTTATCGGGGCATAACAATCATCTTTTCAGCTTACATATTTATATCCCAGTCATTCTCTAGCAAAAGAGAATCACTATAGATTATGAATAATAATAGTCGTTGAAAAAATAAATGGTTTCCTGGTGTAAATTTGCGACTGAGAACATACAGTTTAAGGCATATGAAGAACCGTAGTTAAGATCACTAATAGAGCACTAATGGCTGAAAATCCAAGGTAATTGAAGATCAGTGATTGTAAATGAAGTTCTTAACTCCACGAACAAGTACTACTTTTACTAAACGTTTTCCGGTACTTTTAAAAACACTACTAACCTCTTTTTGTGACTGTGATGATGTCTTCTGTTTTCAATGGATTATCTTTTTCCCATTGAATATACTTCTTCCACAGTTCGACCTTAAAAATAAAGTACAAAACAGTGTAAAAATTTAGATAGAACCAAAGTGTTGATTTCAAACGAATTAAAAGTGTATGGCCAAAACTGATTACACACAGAGCAACTACTGGAAGCTTAATTTTCAAAGGAGTCGGAAGAAATTTCGCTCAAAAAACTTATCCAATAAATTGATAGTGTTACGACTGTGTCACCACTTGTTCTATCTGGTCGTCGCCATTTGTTATACCGGAATCGCTTATCACATATATTCGTAAAAGGAGGAACCACTGCAATTCCCATGACACGAAAGTAAGAACATAAGACTGGTACAAACGAAGATTTATTAACCCCAAAACACGACGACGACCCTAGTCGAAAATACACATTTATATAGTGCTTCATACACCCATTTTGATTATTAATTAGAATAAAATTACATATATGAGAAATACTTACAGTTATAACAAATATGCTGAGTATAGTTTACAAAAATAGCATGGTATAGTATAGTTTATAAAATTAACGTATGTTATACAGAATAAAATGTCATACGGGAAAACAAAAAAATTCTATACCAAGTAATCATCACATTGAATTAAAGCGGGATTAATATTGAAAAAAATTATAATGAGTAAAAGAATGTAATTTTGACTTTAGATACCGTCATATCATATTGATTCAATACAAATGCATTTACTTTGAGACCACATAAGACAATAAACAAATTTTTATTTCAAGAATCCCATGCAAATAAAATTTTTATACAAGTTTGTTAGAAAAAAAGACCCTCCAAGTACACGACCTATAAATCAGTGTATTCAAAATAAGGACTCATTAGTCTTTTGGCGAATTTATTACTTCTAATAGCTGACACTGACCAACTATTTTCACTGATAAATGAGTACGGGTCAAGTTATTGGTTAAGTAATAGAAGACACTCACTGCCTTCTCGTGGCGGGGGTGTTGTTTACGAAAGTGAGAGGACGAAAAGCGAATGTCCGGCGCTTTAACTGGGTTGGTGGACATGAAGGGTCCACCTAGGGGAGTTGGAAAACCCTGATTCCAAACCAGTGGTGCAAATGGGCTTCAGTATCCTGAGGGAACAAATGGCGTACGAATCAACCGTTGATCACCGGCTACCATGGGACTGCATCTCCTCACGATGCTCCACTGCCTTGTGGATCAGACATTCAGGTCAAAGGCTCCGGGTGTGGCCCCCTAAGAAAACCATCTGCTTCAGTCTGGGCACCTGGACATTATCACAGCCCTCACACAAATCGAATGAGATTTGTGAGGCGCATATTTATCTGGTGCTTCCTTGTACCAATAATTATGTGTTTAAATAATAAATAATAATAAAAATAGAAGACAAATGCTTTGAAGTATATATATATATATAATGAAGAGAGATACTGATACTACTTTGTGTAACATCTATTATACAAGGGGAGTGACGATAACATAAGTTATTCAGTCTGATTATTTACTCCGGTAGATTAATGCTATTCCGCTTATCTATACTGAAATCATGCATTTGAGTGGGGATATAAACTACGCAGACAAATAGGAACTATAAACCAGTGAAAATATGTGAAAGCACGACTAATTGTTATGCATATTGGTCTTACTAGTAAAAAAATAACCACGAACTAACTTTCAGAGTGCAGTTCAAGTTTGTGAACAAATAGCCAAGTCCCTTCATTATCAGAGAACCATAAAGATCATATTGAAGTCTTGCAGCAAATACTTTAGCATAACATATGGTGATGTGGTGGTTTAGCAGTTATAGCGGCGAGACTTTAATTTATCAACGACCCAATCCGGCGAAAGATAACATGTTTTGGATTTTGGCGCGAAATTCATTCAACCATTTGGTAAAATACTGTGTTGGCATTATAACTGATGTCAGTTCGTGATGAAAACCCTAAATCTTGTTCCTCACCCTAACTGTAAACTGTAAATCATGATTCCTATTCCTCATACAAGTTTATAATCTTTATTTGGTCTTAGTTATTAGGTGGACACTCTCAAGGTCACTTCACGGTCGCTCAAAGGTCGTCCATAAATTATAGTCCCACAGTTATGGCGTACAACCTTTGGTCTCATGTTTGAACCCCGTTTGATCTGCTTTAGTTTGGACAACCAGGTAATATTATTACCCATGAGGATGTGGCTATTACACAAATACCTGGTGGATGAGTTAATCAAAATTAGAACATATCATATGAACTCACCTGTTTGGCTTCATATGGTGTATTTTGAGGTGGCACTGATGGCATAGTCCTGGACAATCCTTTTGTAATAACTTCATATTCTTTAGCTACACGACGTGCATTCATATAGTCCCGACTACGTTCTTCGGTAAACTTTTTTGCGATAAGAGGATTGATTGAGTTCTCATACATACAATAATCACGCCAAATAGTTTCGATACCAAGCATAGGAGTAACAATTGCACGTTGGTACACACGTCTAGTTGCAGTTATTTTTTGACTTTCCGCATATGAACCTTGAACTTGACTATGCAAAAATCAGAGAACATATAACATAACTTCGTGTTCACAGTTATTCTGTACTTCTCACAACTACCCAATCAAGATGAAGTGTCGTGAAATCAGGGTGAAATGCACTAATTATAGTATACTTAACATGTAGTTTATTAAATAACTGACCATACATATGTGTTACTAATCCGCTGAATTAACGTTCAGATTATTTGAATTTTTGCTAACAACTAGATTTCCAATGATTATATCCATAGTACTAACGCCCTTGATCGGAATCAAGTGATATACCTATCAATGAACGGTCATACATACGTCGGCTTTCGTTTTTATCAACTATTCACGTGAGAATGAGTTGCATAAAATATATGTCCAACAGAATCATGTCGATCCACTCCTTTACATCAAAAGACAGGAATGGGACGATATCTGAAAAAAAAACTGAATAAAACTTACGACGAAAACGTACAAGACCGGTAGTACCCCAACAAAACCTACTTGTACTGAACCTAGACAATGTCAAAGCTCTTTCAGAGAACAGTAATGAGATGGTGTAAAAATGACTTAAATGACAACACTTACAAATTAAGGGATAAAAACTACTCTAGAAAACCTTGAATTATATACCCATGTGCTGAGTTAAGAGGGTCAAAATAGGTAGGTATTTAATGACATAGCTCGATGGTTTCTGGGACACAGACAGATGGACTCTGTATTTCTCAGTAGTCGATTAACTGTATTGAAATCCTCAAACTTTTATTTAACAAAACCTTATAACATCCAGGATGCTAAGAACTGAAAAAATTGACCCGAAACGTCTACAGTTGCTCGAGCAAGACTAGTAATTTCATTTAGTTTGACTGTAGGTTGTTTTCCAAACTAGAATAAGATCGACCTTCCTTGTTAGGTTAGAGACATCCAAACAAAAACCTACTCTGTGTTGAACACACAGTTATTTTACTTCACACAACCGAAAAAATACTTACGTTGAACGAAGAAAGGATATGTAGTCTGCCCATATTGAATAAGAATTAAGGTCTAGGCCCATTTTATCCAGAGTGAAATCGTAAGCTTGTGCCATTTTCTCCCTAAACCGAAAAAAGGTAAGACTAAATACATCCCTTACTTGAAAGTTTGATGCTTTCCTTTAGTTTCTTTAATATACTGCAAGTATATTTTCCATAGGTCAATGTTTAATATCTTAACTAGACAACGTTGAAATAATTTTTCAACTCTTTCATAGTTTTTGGCTTTCATCTGAAAGGTTACTCGAAAAGCATCTAAGTTACCTCCTGATTAATATAGATCTTCCAATACTGACCAGCTACCGGGAACTGGGTAACAATACGTTCAAAAACTTCCCTTGCATCATCAATCTTTTTACTTTGAGCATCACGCAACAAAACACTCCATGCCTCGATATCCCAGGGATTAGACTTGATCCTTTCCTCTGCCTTCTGCATTTTGTCCATTTTGTACACTCTCCTTTGCATAAACGGCATTTCGCTAATTTAGAGTAAGATCTCGTAGAGTAACACAACTTGTCAAAACTACCGCTAATCAACACGTTATCCAATACCTATTCAATGCAAGTGCGAATATGAAACTAGCTTCGTTTGCAAATCATTCGTACTGACATTAAACGCTCACCCTATTTCAGTGTACCTATTTATCTTCTGTTGATAAACACACTGGCACTGTTTTGCATTCGGGTGTTGGCTCTTTTTTGATGCTAATGTAATCATTGTAGAGAAATAAAATGGCAAAGTGGGAGTTATAAGAATGTAGATAATATTTCTTCCAATCAGTTTTCTATTATCCAGACTCTGTATCAGACTTCTGTAACAGTGATCCGTAGTGGAAAATGAATCCCCGAAATAAATAGTTCCGTTAGTCTTCGACATTGATTCTGACCTTATAATATGTATTAAATACTCCCCCAGGCGAAGACGCTCCTTCAGACATTCACACCAGATTACGTTTGAGCACTCCATGCTGCACATACCTTACGAAAACTAGTTAGCTTAGATTGGTTGTACTTCAAAACTTCGACCGGTTCTCAAATATATTGATGATGCAACGGATATTCTAGTTTTACAACTAGATACCAGTAGCACCTTCTAAATTCGGTTGTTCCCAGTCAGATAGAAATCAGAAGTCGGACGAGAATAGGCTGGAAAGATATATTTGATTCGTTACCAATATATCGAGGACCTTTTCTATGAGCTGGCTAATGAAACGTAGGAGCTGTGTCCCACGCAGTATTGAAACGTGATCTGGTGCGGATGCATGACCGAAAGCCTTCAGCTAAACAAGTCCACTTAAACAACGTGGTCAGCATCCAATGTCGAACACTTAATGAGCTATTGATTTTGGGGAATTATTTACAGCTACAGATCACTCCCCCCCTAGTGAGGTAGTGATGCCCCTAAGACGTGACCAGCCAGAAGTTTAAACCCAACGAATTTGTCGTTGGTAAACACTCTTCTGATAGCTTGCTTCGTTTAGCAGCGTCTGGTCGTCTTTCCTTAAACTATGGGACCAAAATGTTCAACGTAGCAAATAAAGAAATATAGTACAATGAAAATTTCTGTTCCTTGCGAAACTTCGTCGTTCTTTTCCAGCCGTCCTGGAAAAGAGGAAAAATAAAACGTGTGAGTGCATGTCAAAAATACACTCGTACTTGCGTAAGGACACAAGATGAGCGGAAAAAAATAAACTGATACACTTACAAACAGCGTAAAAGCGATCGGAAAAAAGGTTTTCTTTTGGGTTTTTTTTTCAATATATAAATATATATATATATACGCTCAAAAAAATGTTGTTTTTTTTTGTTTTTTTTTACATAAATAAAAAAATGAGCATATTAAAAAAAATTTATAATAAACTTTGAAAGGGTAATTCAAGATAAAGCTTATGTCCTACGTGCAATATTCGTTAAGATGTTCTGGAAATCTTACTCGTCTTCCAGAACGCGTTGTTTTAGGTTTTTCTATCGACGTTGACGAAGTATCAAGTTGTGTGTCGGTTGTCGTGTAGGGTACTACGAGTGTAGTAGCTGTGTCGTTTGCTTGTACCGAAGGAAAATCGACGTAGCTAGGGTTTCCTTCTAAGTACGCTGCTTTGAGTCGATCGATACTGATGCTATCTTTCGTACCGTTCTTATCAACTACATAGTACTTAGGTTCGCGTTGAAGAACTTTGAAGGGTCCTTCGTATGCTGATTCGAGGGGTCGTCGATGTGAGTCTCGACGAACGAAGACGTGTGTACTATGTCGTAATTCGGGTTGAACGAAAACATCAGTTGATTGAGGTCGAGTGTGAGCAGGTTTAACTGAACGCATAGCGTTTGTAAGCCTACTCGTGTAAGAGTTTAGATCCATGTTCAATGAAGAAGCTGAAGGATCCACGAATTCTCCTGGGAGTCGGAGTGTCGTTCCGTAAACGAGCTGAGATGCCGTGTATCCAATGTCAGCTTTCACTGCATTGCGGATACCTAGCAAGACGAGTGGAAGAGCGTCTGTCCACTGTGAAACGTTTGAAGCTGATAATGAGGCTTTTAGTTGTCGATGAAAACGTTCTACCAACCCGTTTGCTTGTGGGTGGTAGGCGGTCGTTCGGAAGCGCGTGATTCCTAAAAGTGTGGTCAGACAACGGAAAAGTCCAGATTCAAACTGGCGTCCGCGGTCTGTAGTGATGGTTGAAGGGCAGCCGAAATTTGCTACCCATCGTTCGACGAAAGTGCGAGCCACTGTTTCAGCAGTAATGTCCTTAATCGGTACTGCTTCTGGCCATCGAGTAAAACGGTCTACGCATGTTAGGAGATATGAGTATCCGTTCGAGTCGGGTAAGGGTCCTACCAAATCTAGATGGACGTGGTCGAAACGAGCGTCAGGGGTTTTGAAAGAACCTAAGGGACATTTGTTGTGTCTTATGACCTTAGGTTTCTGACAGCTTACACAGGAGCGTGACCAATCCCTCACGTCTTTATTCATGCCAGGCCAACAAAAGCGTTCGGCTATAAGTTCGATTGTTGCACGAGCACCTGGATGAGAAAGATTGTGCAACGTATTGAAGACGTTGCGGCGATAGTGTTTTGGTACAATTGGACGATCCCTACCTGTAGATGTGTCACAGAGTAAAGTTTCCTTACCTGTTCCCATCTGCCTAATACTTAGTTTAAGAGTTGTCGAGGATAACTCATGCTGAAGATCAATGTCTTCTTTTTGAAGCTGAGCGAGTTTAAGGTCGATTCCTTGGAAACTGTTCAAGGAGCTAATTCGAGACAAGGCGTCTGCGACTACATTGTTTGCTCCAGAAATATGTTGTATGTCTGAAGTAAACTGCGAAATGTAGTCGAGTTGTCGAGACTCTCTTGGTGAGTACTTGTCTGAAGATGAACTTAAAGAGAAGGTAAGAGGTTTGTGATCGGTAAAGAGCGTGAATTCTCTTCCTTCGATGGAATGTTGAAAATGCCGTGCAGCACAATACATAGCTAGGAGTTCCCTACCGAACGTGCTGTACCTAGATTCCGCGTCTAGCAACCGTCTCGAGAAAAATCCTAGAGGTTGCCACGAGTTGTTAACCTATTGTTGTAAGACTGCTCCGATTGCTGAGTCGGATGCGTCTACGGCGATACTAATGGGCGCTTGACTGTCCTGATGAGCAAGCAAGGTTGCTTTAGCGATGTGTTCCTTAACTGTGGAAAATGCTTTACGAGCTATGTCGTCTAAACTAATTGATTTCGCATTTCCACGAAGCTGATCGGTTAACGGTTTCATTAGGGATGTGCATTTAGGTATGAACCGTCTATAGAAACTTACGAATCCGTTGAAAGTTCGTAACTGCTTGATCGTGGTCGGTTCTGGGTAATCCAGAATGGCCGCCACTTTGCTCCTAAGTGGTCGGATGCCTTGAGCATCAATAGTGTGTCCTAAGAAGTCTAAGCAGTTAGTTCCGATTTGGCATTTCTGAATGTTGACAGTAATGCCATGCCTTTGGAGTCGATCGAAAACAATGTCCAGATGCTTGAGATGCGATTCTTTGTCCGGACTTGCTATTAGACAGTCATCAACATACGCATGCACGAAGTTGAGACCTCGGAAGACGTCGTCTATAAACCTTTGGAAGGTTTGAGCCGCGTTTCTTAAACCAAAGGGCATTCGTAGAAATTCGTAAAGACCGAAGGGAGTGATGATGGCGGTTTTAGGAATGTCGTCGTCGGGAGCGAGTCTTCGGGCTTTCGAAAATACAGGTGGTCCTGTAGTCGAGATGTGATGTGTAACATTGCTGGTTACACAAGGTAATTTCGATTGCGATTGGTATATCCCGGGGTATTTGTCGAGTACTGCTTGGTACAAGGGGTCTATGGCGTGCTTAATCGTGACTGGGGATAACCTGCAACCAGAACAAGGAGTTACGCAAACGGACAACTTAGTGTTTCCGTCTATTAACCTTCGTGCGCGTGTGTCGATGAGTAGATTGTGGTGTTGTAACAGGTCAATACCAATGATTGGCATAGAGACATCTGCAACCACGAAAATCCAGTGTATGGGTTTACGTAAACCCACGTTAAGGTAGACGTACCTTTTACCGTAAGTAGAGATCGGCTTTCCGTTTGCCGCCTGTAAACTTAAAACAGACTCGCGAAGTCTGTCTTCGAGATTTGCTGGAAGAACGCTAACTTCTGCGCCAGTGTCGACGAGGTAGCGAACTTTCGTAGTCACATCCGTGACATATAAGAGGCGGCTGTGTTCGCCGGCTACGGTTGCCGTTAACGCGTGCCGGCTGGGAAGTTTCCCGAACTGTTTTTCGTGTCACTCGATTTTGGGGTCGGATAATTGCAAGGTTTCCTGCAGTTTCTGGAAAACTTACCGTACTGGTTATGATACCAGCACCAGTCGGGATTGTCTGTCTCTCGTGGTCGAGAGCCAGATAGCTTACGTGAGGCGCTTCTACGCGGGGTTTTTGACCGACTACGGTCATTGCGAACTCTAAGATATCGTGTAAGCGTGTGACATAGTTCGGCCATGTCAGTCGAGGTCGATTGGGGTTTTTCTTTGACGGAAAAAATTTTTTAGAAGCTTGGCACTCAGGTCAATCAGCAATAAACAAACATATTGAAATCAATCCAATCTATCAACCAATCAAGAAAATTATGCAAGAAGATAGGAACAAAAATCAAACCAATAGGAGATACAACCAAAACAAAGAAATAAACAATGACAGATTTAAGGTCAATAAGAACCAATCAACATCGAGGTGCAGAGGACAAGCTGTGAATCACATGTGGAGAAATTCAAACACTTCACTTCTACCCGAAGTTTGTGCTGATGATGTCGTTCAGAAGGACGATGAAAGCTCCACGACCAAACCACCCAGCTCAGAGAACAAACCAACATCAAAATCTAGTGATTTCCAAGATTCGATCGGCAGATGCAGCTAGTTCATCTATGGCATTGTTTTGAAATGAAACAAGCACTGCCTGCACCTGTTGAGGGAGTTTAGACAAGAAAAGTTGTCTAAATAGGCCATCATCGAAAGTTCGTTGGCCGATGACTTCTCTCATTCTAAGCAACATGTCCGTCGCAGAACCATGTTGCAAGTC